TAATAGATAGTAATAATAGTAATAATAATAATAATAATAATAATAATAATAATAATAATAATAATAATAATAATAATAATAATAATAATAATAATAATAATAATAATAATAATAATAATAATAATAATAATAATAATAATAATAATAATAATAGATAATAATAATAATAATGATAAATGAATCGAAATTTAAATTCAATAAAGTAAAATGGCGAAGCAATTTTTAAATATAATAAAAAAATGAAATTACTGATTCGAACATTTTTCTTTCTGACACAATAAATCATAGCACTATTGATTGGTACTTTTTTAATGCATTAAAAGAATGCATTTTCAATTTTACTTCTTAAAATTTGCATACAAAACCATATAGTCTAATTAATATATTATAATTTTGCATACCTGAAAATATTGCCTTTCTAATTTGTATACTTGAGAATACCACGTTTTTTCTTTTTTTTTTCATATTTTTTTGCTTGTTTTAAAACACAAATTTTGCATAAATAATTTTAAAATTTAATAAAAAAATTTTTTTTTTGAAAATTCTTTCACCTGTAATGAGTTGATTAAAAAATATAGGGCATGTGCAATAACAGCGTTATAGAAGCAAGCAATAAATGTACATATAAAACATATACCATAACCAATACCTTTGAAAATAATTTTATTAAAAAAGGAACAAATTAAAATTCATTGAAATTATTTTGATAATTATGAAATTTTTTTCTTCTAATTAGGGAATTGTATTCAGTAATTAATTTTTGGACAAAGATTTAATATTTTTATTGAAAATTTAACCATTTTTTAAATGAAATTAATAATATAAAAAATTAAGGAAAGATATTTTTACCTTTAAACATTGGACAAATCTTTTTCCAAATACTTATGCAACCAGAACGATGAAATTGTCCAAGGACTAATTCCATATAAAATACTGGTAAGCCACCGATAAAAAGCATTGTCAAATATGGTATAAGAAATGCACCTAAAACAATTGTGTTGATTGCTTTATTAATTAATTACCAAATTAATTAGCTAGTTGACTGATGATTGATTGATTGATTATGTGTCAATTAAATAATAATTCACTTAAATTCATCTATTATTAACTTTTTATTAGTTCTTTTCATCGTTTAATGGTTGAATTATCAAATGTCTATCTTTGTTTATCAGTTATATTGAATATCTTTTATATAGCAAGCAATTAAATCCTAATATTATTTTAAATTTTAACTTTTGTGTGAGTTTCTAAATCATTTTAATTCACGTAGATTTATAAGTATGTTTACTCGTGATACACGTGAGTTTGATAATTTGCACCATTACCTCTGGATACACGTGAATTTAACGTGAATTTAATAATTAGTATTTTCACCTGTGGATCCACGTGAATTTAATGATTGGTATTTTCACCTGTGGATTCACGTGAATTTAATGATTAGTATTTTCACCTGTGGATTCATGTGAATTTAATGATTTACATTTTCACCTGTGGATTCACGTGAATTTAATGATTTACATTTTCACCTGTGGATCCACGTGAATTTAATAATTTGCATTTTCACCTGTGGATTCACGTGAATTTAATGATTTACATTTTCACCTGTGGATCCACGTGAATTTAATAATTTGCATTTTCACCTGTGGATTCACGTGAATTTAATGATTTACATTTTCACCTGTGGATCCACGTGAATTTAATGATTTGCATTTTCACCTGTGGATTCACGTGAATTTAATGATTTACATTTT